TAGGTGCACAATTTTTCACCAAATTCCTGTACTAAACAAGACGTCACCAGCCATGTCCTTGGTAAAGGAAGCGTGAACAACTAGGTACCGCGCCATTTATTAGTCTAGTGGGATTTCCACAAAAGATGAATAGTAGGGGCATTTTGGGGTAAAAGTTGGGAACCAGGCTTATTGGCATAATTTTGGGATGCTGAATCCGATTTACCCGGTTCCCAAGCAAAATTTTGCGTTTTTAACGGTCTAATTTGCAAAAAAACAAAATGGCCGCCAGATTTCCTATTTTCTGCAATATCTCTGGGACTAGACAGGTGAACATGACAAATGAAGTGTCTTTACCTATATTTTCAGGGTCGAGGAACATTATTAAGATGTTTCTGTTAGAATTAGACTTACGCAATTTTCCTAAATATGCAAATTAGGATCGCCATTGCTGAAAAAACTGTTTTACTTCTGTATCTCTGTAACTAGGCAAGCAAACATGACAAATGAAGTGTCTACACCTATGTTCTCAGGGTCAGGGAATGTGATAAATCAGATGTCTTGTCTTATGGGTAGCAATGACTTTGTGAATCTTGTCCGAGTAGCATCTTCTATTGTTTCTTCCCTGTATCTGTCAAACACAAGTCAATCTGCTGATAGTTAGAACCTGCCTTCAGAACTGCTTTTATGTTAACTAGGCAAGCAAACATGACATATGAAGTGCCCACACCCATGTTTTCAGCGTTAGGGAAAGTGATTAAGACATTTTCACTATAATCAAATCAGCAATGAGTGCTACACTGTCACACTGTAGCAATTATTCGAATCTGAATTGAATTTTGCAATTAAATACTGCACTGCCATTGGGATGTTACTTTTGACTTTTAAGATTTTAAAGGGCGACTGTCCATTTTACTTAAACTCTACCATAGAACTTTTAACTCCTATCAGATCACTTCGATTCGAGTGGACAACTTCAACTTAAGCGAAAAGACACTAAAAAGACTCTTAAGACATATGGACACAGAAGTTTCGAGATTTGTGCACCGATTTTATGGTCTAATTTTATCACAAGATCTAATGTGTCTCTGGATGACTCATATTACTGTTTTAAGAAGAATTTAAAAACTTTTTTATTTAAAGAATACTTAATTTATAGCATCTTTTTAGTTTTTAAAATTTTTAAGTATTCTGTTTTTAGTCTATACTGGCTTTAATTTATCTGTGGAGTTATATTTTTTATGTAAACAGCGCTGAGACGCATGTGTAGCGCGGTTTTAAAGAAGTGTTTTA